TCCAGTTGTGCCAGAAATTGCATAAGATATCCCTGCTAATAACACTATTTATGTACTGGAGGTTGGGGGGCAAAGAGGTCTCTCTGAAACAGTTAAAGTTACTGAGGAGGGGCCACACTTTAATGTTAGAGTTGAGTTATAATTAGAAATTAGTCATGGAAGTGTGTGCTGACCACAGTTATCTTTCCTCACATTTAAATTATCTCATTTCTTCTTCATCTCTAGTTCCTAGACCCTTACCCTCCAGAACCATATATTTTGCCTTCTTTTTCTCCTGTTTGACCCACTGGTAAAATCTAAGAGACTGTGCCTCACTAACCTATCTTTTCTGTAGAAGAAAAATCAAAAGATGATCAATAATGAAAATTTGCCAAATTTAAGATTTAATGCTCTAAAATATGTGATTAATCACTGGTTGCCCAAAAACATTCTTTACTTCTTTTCCGTGATCGTCAAGATTCTTGACGAATTTTTCCTTTTTCCATATGTGTGCTTCGGCTTTTAAAGTGTCAGTGGCATAGCTCACAGCTGCTAGAAATGTGGCCCTGTGGACTTAGGACACAGCAATAACTATGCTTGTTTCTGACGCTGGAACCAAGCCAAATCTATGGAACACTGCTATTTGTTTTACTGGTCATTTCTGCCTAATGTCACTATAATTTTGTCTGATTCATTTTCCACCACTGGTATATATGGTTCATGTTCTAAACTAGTGATTTTTCCCTTCAAAGTTGTTTTTTGTAGTTCCTACAAATAAGGGCACTGCACCACACATTGGAGAATCACCAACTGTGAGACTTCATCTACTGAAAGTTTCTCAGCAGTGCATTTTATTATGTCTTTAGATTTCTCTTCAACTTCACCGATATTTTTCCTACACGGATGTAAAGCATTATCCTCCACTAATGGGAGGAATAATGGCAATTTCATCTCCTGGCTGAAGTGGAGGAGCTGACCTCCCAGCTTGCATACTCTTGATGGACAGCAAATATCACCTGATTATTAATGTCAGCCAATCCGAGCTGTTGAGTTTCTATCTCTACAGCTGCAACACTTTTATTTCTTGTAGAGATATGGTCTCTGCATGAGCTCCCACTATTTCAGCACTTTTTGCAAAACACAATACTTTCACCTGGCAGCTGGGTACCATCCCACATGCAACCCCAGGGCCCAACTAGAGTAATGTAATGTTCTTAACCAAAGTTTTGCCTTGGAATTGCTAGAGGAGTGGTTTTTTTTCTTAAACACTCGTTCTTGGCTCTCCTCCTTGGAGGTTGTGTGCTCAGTCTTGCATGTAACTGGACTATCTGTAGTTTTACAAATACCACAGATGATTATGTTGTGCTCAGGCTGGGCCACTGCCTCTGGGAGAATGGCTGGTCTCTCATGTGTGATGATTTACCTGCCTTCTGATTTGGGTATAGGGTAAGCCAGGGATTCCACACAATAAACAGAACCAAGCTATAGAGCCTATCTGCTACCACCCTAAGATTGGAAGAGTCTCAGAACCTTTCCCTTCAGCTGTACAAAACCAAAATGCTCACCACAGAAAAACCTGTGACCTGCTTCGATATCATAAGATATTTCTTTAATATAAATCTAGACTTTTCTTCCCTATTGAAAAAACTATGTGATGCCTAGACAGATTTGTGGAGGTTTAGCAGAGAGAACAATAGGCTTCAGCACTTTTTATTAGTATGTGTTTCTGATACATAATAATTACATTTTTCTTGGGGAATTGATACATGTACAAATTACATATTAATCATTTTTACTATCCCTTTACCTCCCTCTCCCACTTTCCAGATTCCTTTTACATCTATACAGAGTCCTTCCTGTTTTCTACCATCTCTCTTTTATTTCACCTTTATATTATTTACACTGGAGGTTTCTTGTGTTAGAGACACCACAGAATATTTAACCTTCTATGTCTGATTTATTTCATGTAGCATTATAGTTTCAAGTTTCAGCCATTCAAATATGAGTGACTCAAACTTATCATTCTTTATGATTCAGTAGTACTCCGTTGTATATCCATTCATCTGCTGATGAGCATATAAGCTCCTCCTGTAATTTAGCTATTCTGAATAGCAGTGTGATAAACATGGGTGTAATGTGTGACTGTAATATGATGGTTTTACTCTTCCAGGAATATACATAGAAGAGGTATAGCTGGGTCAAGTTGAATTTCTGTTTTTAGTTTTTTGAGGAATCTACATGGGGATTACCAACAATGTAGCAGGCTTCCTTTTTGCCCCACAACCTTGCCAACATTTGTTGTGTTTTTGTGTTCTTGATGCTAGGTCTTCTTGCTAGAGTAAGATAGAATATCAAGGTTGTTTTGATTTGATTTTTCTAATTGCCAGTGATGCCAACCATTTTTTTTCATGTACTTATTGGCCATTTGTACTTCTTATGAGAATTGTCTATTCATTTCAATTGCCTATTTTTTCACTGGGTCTTTTATTGGTGGCTCTAAGTTTTTTGACTTCTTTGCATGTTCTGTATGAGTGGTGGCAAACCTGTGGCGTACATGCCACAGCTGACTATTATTGGTTATTGAAAGCTCTACAAGGTTTACCATCACTGTTCTAGATATTAGCTGTCTGCCCAAGGAGTGTCTGGCAAATATATTCCCCATTTTATTGGTTGTTTCTTACTCTGTTTTTTTCCTTTTGGTGCAGAAGCTTTTTAATTTGGTTTAATCCCATGTTTTGATTCTTGGTACTGTATCTTGTACAGTTAAGGGTTCCTTTTAGGAAGTCCTTGACTATGCCTATATCTCTACGAGTGTTACTAATTTTTTCATCCAGAAGATTTAATGTTGCTATATTCATATGTAGGTCAATTGGTCCATTTAGATTTGGTTTTACTACATGGTGAGAGATATGGATGTAAATTCATTCTTCTGCACAAGGATAACCAGTTTTATCAGCACCATTTATTAAATATTACACTTGAGACTTCAGTCATAGTGGTCAGGCACATGGAAAAAATAAAAGGGTTAAGAGGAAAGGAAAAAAATCTATCCTTATTTGCAGATGGCATCATCTTTTACAGACACTACCCAAAAACTCTATCAGAAGATTCTTAGTACTGTTGAATTCAGCAAAATGACAGAATATAAAATCAACACATGAAAATCAATAGCATTGCCATACACCACTGTGAACCCACCAAGAAGGAAATTAGGAAAAGAATCACATTTGCAATAGCTTCAAAAAAATTAAGTGCCTAGGAATTAATTTAATCAAGAAAGTGCGAGACCTTTATAATGAAAACTGTGGTGCTCTGAAAAATGAGATTGAAGAGGACATTAGAAGATGGAAAGACATTTTAAACAGAACTAATATTCTCAAAATGGCCATATTATAAAAATGATGCGTAGGTTTAACTCAATTCCATCAAAATACCATCAACATTTTTTACAGAACTAGAAAAAAACAATTCACAAGTTTATATGGAACCAGAAAAGACCCAGAATAGCAGAAGCAATCCTGAAAGAGCAAAGCAAGAAGCATTACAATCCCAGATTTCAAATTATACTTGAAAACTACAGTAAGAAAAACAGCATGGTGCTGGGATGAAAACAGACTGTTGAATAATAAAGTAGAATAGAGGATGAAGAAACAACTGCAAGCACCTTTAGCCATGTGATTTTTGACGAAGGGGCCAATAACATATGCTGGCTTCAGTGATTTTAGTAGTTTGTTGTTTTTTACTTCCTTGCCAAGTATGTTGTGAAGATTAGTTATAGAAATGAATTCTGATAGAATAGTCTCCGTTGAAAACCACATTACATGAAATAGATCTTATTTTAAATATATTGTTTGTGTGTATAACTGTGTAGTTAGTTTTGTGGGGAATACTTACAAAGAAAAATATAGACCTATTTTCTTCCTTTTGCTTAAATATGTTCCATATTTTAGGGTTAAAATCTGTAGCAAGATAGAACTATGGTTACTCTAAGAAGCCTGATGACATTTGTATTAGGAATATTTTGTTGCTTTCTCATGTCAGGGAAAGCGAATGCATCTTGGAAAAAAAGAGCGTCAATTAATGGTATACTGAGATGATGTGTTTGCATATGCCATTTTGATGCTGCTTTGAGGAATACTTTAGGTACATTTTGGATAGGCAGGTGGAGATTTTTAAGTACATAAACTCTAAATCATCCATTCAGTCAGACCATTTAACCTGCATGGGAGAAGGAGTAGGAATGCTACTAGATTTTTACATACAAACAGAACATTAGTCATTTAGCTTTTCTCTTTTGGCTTGTTAACAGCTTGTGGGTAGATTGAACCTTGGATTATCATTTTTTGTGTACTTCAGGATATGAAGGTATTAAACAGAAGGAAATGTATAGGAAAATGGCAGAAAGATCTAGGGAATAAAGAAAAAGTTTGGAAAACAGGCAAAAGGAACAAATCATAAGTAATTTGAGAAATAGATCTTGAAAATTAGGTTAAACGTTCTTGAGAGCAGTGGCAAAAGTACTTATGTATTTTTACCATTGTAATTTTTAAAATTTTTTTATTGTATAGGATTAGAGAAAAAGAATATGGGTTATTTATCTCTATAATATAGGGTTTAGATCAAAGTAGATTGAGCGGGAGAGTGGGGAGAACCTGGTTTTCTTCTGTAAAATTTCCTCTGAATTTGAACTGTGAGCATGCTGCCATATCTGTGGGAACTTTGCTCATTTCCTGATTGAGTAACATGTATTCCAGCAGCTCAGTGGGGGATTATATGATCTTTTCAACTCCTATCCCTAATGTTGATATCAAGCAAACACTTTTCAGTAATATTTATCAACTTATCTTATTTTGGTACCTATACCCTATTAAAAAATATTTTGTCTCAGTAATAGTCTGTATACATAAGCATTTAAGTTTTTAATTTGTAATAGGGTTTGACATCAGTGTTACTATATGTATTATGTAATATTTTACCTTAAAGCTCAAATTCAGACTAAAACTTGTACTGTTTTTTTTTAGGACAGCCAGTAGAGGGGACTTCATGTTTTCTGCGGATCGTTTGGTAGGTGGAGGCTTTCCATTTTCATTTCATTATTATACCTGGTGATATAATCATGATGGGCCAAGGGTTTTTTGTTACTGTTTTAGAGCATAGTGGGGCGTAACGATCATCTTGCTGGCCTTCTGAAGCCTTTCCTACTGTTGCGTTAAAACTCTGCTTCATTTCCTTTCACCTCAAAGCATTCCCCATGAGCTCATTTTCTGCAGTTGTCAGGTACTACTAGCTCTCAGATGGATCTTGGTAATATGGTTTTCAGTAACTCTCCCTTTGTTTTTTTTTTTTTTTTTTTTTTTTTTGGCATGGGGAATCAAACTCAGGACCTTGCATTTTCTATACTGTGCTGCTGAGCTCTATCCCCAGCCCTTTCAGCAACTCTTAAATGCCTTCATTTTACTGCCTCTTTTAGGGCAGTAAAATAAAGCACATTAGAAGAAAACCAAAGATGTAAGAACGCCAAGTAGTTATCTTTCTATGTAGCTAATTCACAAAAACTAATACATATTTTATAGTTTACAAGGAAGCAGCATTTATTTTGTCTCTGTTCTTTATTATCCTCACACATGAAATACTAAGTTGGACCATTTACATATTCTTCAGGAACTCCGTATAAAGGATTGAGCAAGCCCAATTCTGTTTAGCTGATGTCGTCTAAGAGGATCTCAGGCCAAATTGCTTTGTCTTCAGAGTAACCACTGTGTTATATAAGTGTGCTCAGTGCCTTGAATGAAGTTGACACATTGTCTGCTGTAGTTATCTGTTTTCTTCCATTCACAAAATGCACACTGGTCTAGGCTAGGCTGTGCTAAGCTGTGTTGGGAGCAAGGTGATAAAACAGTCACAAATGTAGATATTTATGTTTCTATTGTTAAGGGCTTCTCCTACAGCATAAGGATCCCATTATAGTGGACATTAATTCTATCCTGAATTTGTTATGATTGGCTTCTGTGGACTTCAGATCCTTGAGTTTGTTTTATAGTCCTTCATCTTGTGGAATTTACAATCTAAATACTTTTATCTGAACTTAGTTTGGGAAAGAAATAAATATGGCTTTTGAACCTCACAGTTCTAATCAGATGGAAAGTAGATTATTAAAGGAAAAATGTAAAAAGGCATGAAAATTTTCAGTGACATTTTTCCTGAAGACTCTTTTCCAAGAATAGACAACTACTGTTCTGCTTTTGGCTTTAACTATTCTTGGTCCAGAGACGAATTATATTTAGTTATTTGAGCTTTCAGAGGTAGTAATAGTATTTGGATAACACCAAGATAAATGTGGTTGGCATTCCTGGGGCAATAGTTCGTTCTGTCTTTTGAGCTTTTCTCAAACTGAAAGGGCGGATCTGAGGAGGAAGATATTTGTGTCTTAATAGCTGATGTGGAGAGATCAGGGGTCTTTGTGTTCATTGGTAGAAAATTATTCCTTTCTTTCCTTTGCTTTCCTTGTATTCTGTTTTTCTTTTTCTATTTCTTCTTTTTTATTTGAGACAGCATCTTGGTTTGTTGCCCAGGCTGGCCTCAAACTCCTGGGCTAAAGCAGTCCTTTTGCCTCAGTCTCTCGAGTAGTGGACACTGCAGGTATGCACCACTGTGCTGGGCACATGTGTTCATTTCTATAGGAAGTAGGAGCTAAGTTTGTAGTTAATGTAAAGTGCTTCCCTGAAATGGCAGATGTTATATCTTAGTTGAATGAGGTAAGGACCTATTGCATAGTTTATGTGAAGGGCTGGTAATTTGGGCTTCTCTGTTGTCTGTAGTTGGCTTTGAAGGACCTAATTAGAGGCTGGAGGACAGTCTGCTGTGGTTTTCATAGGGATTCTAACTATTTATGTTTCTATTGTTAAGGATTTCTCCTATAGCATGAGGAGGATCTCATTAGAGTGGACATTGATTCTATCCTGAATTTGTCATGGTTGGCTTCCCTGGACTTCAGATCCTTGAGTTTGTTTTATTTATTTACTTGTTTATTTATTGATAGACTTTGGGGATTGAACCCAGGGCATTGTGTGTTTTAAGCATGCACCTACCACTGAGATATGCTCCCCTACCCTCTTTATATTTTAGTTATTCTTCCTCTGGTTTTATGCTCTTTAGTAAGACTTGCACATCCTAATTTCTATCCCAGGGTTGCAGCGGGTGGGGCAGGAGACAAGATTTTTTGGAAGAATGTTATAAGGAGGGAGAGGTCATGTTCTTCAAAGGAAAGAATCCTCTTTTACCTTGTAACTTCATTAAAAAAGCATAAGTCTCAACAGAAGGTGGTGGCTAGAGGGGAGTGTGCACATGGGTGTAGCATTCGTGAGTTTTCTTGTTCCTCTCTGTGATTCTGCGGGCTGAAAAAGTACTGGCCCAGGGGCTGGGGATTTAGCTCAGCGGCAAAAGCGCCTGCCTGGCAAGCGCAAGGTCGTGAGTTCGGTTCCCGGTACCGGAGAAAAACCAAAAAAA